TTTTCTATATACTAGTAGGTACTGGAGAGAAGATTCTGGCTTCCTCTTCATATTGCTGGTATTTCTTTAATGAGACCTGGGCACATGGACTTCCTTTGTTAGTTTTGAGTTTGTTATGGATATATCAGGGTGGGGGAAAGAATGTGGGGGGGTTGGTTTGGGTCTAAAGGTTTGAAGTGTCTTGGGTGGAATGCAGTCAGGTGAGCGGAGGGAACTGGACTGGTCTACAGGATGTGCTTCCTGTTCCAAGCTGTTGAGTATGGGAATAGATAGATCTGAGTGGGAAAGGATGGATATGACATGGGAAAATCCTGTGATTTGGGGGATAGGTAGGGGGGATACTGGCCCTAGCCCAGAGCTCCTCTGCAATGAAGGCAGGGAAGCCTAAACTAGGCTGATACACCTGTTGTAGGACCCAGCCTAAATCTGGTAGACTGTGGAAAAGGCATGGATAAGAAAGAGTGGTACTCACCAGATTAGACTCTGAGGAGGAAACGAGAAGTCTGGGTATGGAGTGGGATGGTGGAGGCAGTGCAAAGGGTGTTGGGGGCCCATGCAGGTCCTGGTGGAAGCCTTGAAGTTAACTAACTGTGGTGCAGGAAGAAGTGGTGGGACTAGGCAGGAGCACAGGATGTGGGACCTAGGTTAAATATTGCAGATTGCAGAAAAGCAAGTATTTGGTGGCGGTGGGTACTCACTAGGCTAGGCCCTAGAAGAGGAAATGGGACATCTAGGTATGGAGTAGGATGGTGGAGCTCAGCTTGCTTCTTGTACATAGACAGGGATTATGTCTCTGATAATCACAGAATATTTTAGCCAGCATTGGTGTTTTTATAGAAGAACAGCTCTCAGAAAATGTCATCAACTCCTTTCACTGAACTCCAGTCTGCTCCATATACCCAGAAAACACTAACAACTCAAGAGCTATAACTTCTCTCTGGGCACCACAAGGAAATGAGTATTTGTGGGAGAGCCATAAAAATGTACTCTTTACTTTCCTTTTTCCAGAGCTATGCCTCCCAGTCCTCCTCCCCTTTTATGAGCAGTAGGCATCAAGAGTGTACTTTTTGTTTATATTCTTAGTTCATAAGCCTTTTAAGGTTTATCTTTTACTGGATAAAGATGAGAATCATTACTATATCCAAGTTAGAAATAACACATTTCTGGACTTTCACATCTCTCTTTCATGTCCACTTGTACACTGGCCACTTGTTTCTTGAGTTGGCTTCTTTCTCACAGTATCTTGTTATTACCAAGCAATAGTTACCAAAGCATTTTCTTGACTTCTGTTGCCTAGTTTTGCCTGAGCAAAAGCCACAAGTTTATTAGTGCAATTATCTTTATTAGCTATCATAGGTGACCATTTTAGCCAATTCTACCTTCCATCTCCAATGGACAACTCCTTATTGCTGGCACCTGGCCCTAAGCTAGGACCGTGTTTTAGGATTTGTTACTGTAGCATTTAAAGGATATACCAGATAGGCAGGACATCTTACACCCTTCCTGTCTCATGGCAATAGTTTGTTACACCTTCTTTTTCATTGTAACTACATTACACCACTGGCTGGGGCCTCACAAATGATCTCCATGATTTCTTCTATACCTTATCTTTATATGTAACTATTCAGCCTCCAAAGATTTCCTAGGAAATTGTTAGTACTTTGAAAAATGTTATTACATACTTTTGATTACTTGCTTTTTTTGCTTGTTGCTTTTGGAACAACAGAACATTTATAGGGTGCAGGCGTTTTTAAGTGTATTTGATCTGCTTTTTTTACCATGTGCTATTCTGGTCCTCTGTTTAGAACATAAAAATCATTTCCACAGCAACTAATTATAGTATAAGTCACAAATGCCAGATTACTAGTGCTGTGGAGGTTGGAAGCAACCATCATGCAAATACTCAGAGCCTCTTATTTTGAAAGTTCTTCACTGAACTATTACAAGATAATTAAATGCAGAAAAGACATTTAATACCCAATGCAGACATGAACTTTTCACATCATCTTTATGTGTGATAAGCTTGACACAAATCTATAGAGGATGATTTTCTGCCTCATATTAAACCTTTGCCAAAAATCAGTTGAGCATATCTGTGAGGGACTATTCTGGTGCCTCATTCCTGTTCCGTTAATCTGTGTCTCCAGCCCTCTTCAACATCTCCATTCCTTGATCACCGTATACTAAATCTTACCAGGCAGAGTAACTGTTTTAGCTGGTCAAGTGTTTCCCCCCATGCTTTCAATATATATTTTAGATAAGCTCCTCTATGTGTATAAACACACTACTTGGGTTTTAAAAGAATTGCACTATCTACTTATCTCTCTATATCTATCTATCTATCTATCTATCTATCTATCTATCTATCTATCTGTATCTATCGCCATATAAACACATGGATTCATTTAAGAGGACTGATATGTGTATACTGAGTTGCCCATACTACAAACACAGTATGTCTCCTGACTTACTAGATTGTTGATTCTTTTCCTTAGCATTTTCTAATTTTAGGCATAAAAAGTTTTCTGACTGAATGGGTAAGAACAGATACCCCCTGACTTATGAGTGGGTTTACCCTGGCAAGCCCATTTAAAACTGAAAAATACTCTGAGATGAAAATGATTTTAGTGCAGATAAACAGCTGTACACTCGAGCTTAGCAGCACTGCACACAGCAGAGCACTGCTTTCACTGAAGGCGCGGCCCGAGGACATTGGGTTTTGTTTTTGTTTTTTTCATCTGCAAATGAACTTTAATTTTCTTTATTTAAAACTTTTTCATTTTATATACCAATCCCAGTTCCCCTCCCCTTCCCCTTCTCCTGTCCCCCCCATCCACTCCTCAGAGGGGGTAAGTCCTCCCCTTGGGGAGTCAACAAAGTCTGGCATACTAAGTTGAGGCAGGACTAAGCCCCTCCCCTTTGTATAGAGGCTGAGCAGGCATCTCATCATAGAGAATGGGCTCCAAAAAGCCAGTTCATGCCCTTGGATAGGTCCTGGGGCTACTGCAGGCTCTCCCTCCCCAACATATCAGTCATGACCAAGACAACTCCTATAAAAGAAAGCATGGAATTGGAGTCTTGCTTACAGTTTCAGAGTTTTAGTCCATTGTCATCATGGCAGGGAACATGGCAAACATGGTGCTGGAGAGGCAGATGAGAGCTACAATCTGATCCACAGGCAGAGAAAGAGGGGAGAAAGGGAGGGGAGAGAGAGGGGGGACAGGGCAGAGGGGAGACAGAGAGAGAAGAAGAGAGACGAGAGAGGAGAAAGAGACAGACAGAGACAAAGACAGAGACTAGGCCTAGTATGAGCTTTTGAAACCCCAAAGCCCACTTCCAGTGACACACTTCCTCCAACAAGGCCACACCTCCTAATCCTTCTAAGTTACTAAGCATTCAAATACATGAGAATATAGGGGCCATTCATACTCAAAGCACCACACTGCTATTTCTTGTATATGCCTATTTCCCTGCTGCCCCCATCAAACACAATTTCCAGTTACTTACTCTAAAGTTCAGCTTAGCATATAGTAATACTATATCCTCACCCCCCAGCCTTAGCTCTCTTGCATAAAATGTTTCCTGACTTAGTACTCAAATAAGAGTCTGTAGTCCTGGTATTTTGGTGAATTTACAGGGTAACCTAGACTCTGAACTCTCCACTTTCCTTGTACTTACTGAGTAGATGTTCTGCAAGACCCAGAGCTTAGTAGCAGCTGGGAACAGAGCTGGTGCTGGATTGTATTTGTGCATTGGGTAGGGAGCAACTGAGCTGGGAAAATCAGGTTGGTCAAAGAGGGCTCTGAATTCATGAGTGCAGGGCACGTTTTTTGAGGAAGGGCCTTCCTGAGTATAAAGTAAAGAGGCTTGAGTGAAGTGGAAACCAGTGTGCCGAGGACTAGCCAGGGAAGACCAGTAAGTAAGTGGGCCATGACAGCTGGTGTGTAACCTGGAGGTGTACAGTCCTGACCCCATGATGGTCACATGCCTCAGGGAAGACTGACAACAACAGAAATGAGAACTTGAGATGCTGGTGCAGGACCTTGTATGGAGGCAAGGGGCACACTCTCTCTGCAAGGCTCCTGACAGAAGTAGTTGACAAGTGACATGAAGGTGAAGGAAAAGGAGGAAGACAGGGAACAGTTTGATGGAAGAGGCTTAAGGTGAGAAGCTGGCACCTGTGGTTGCAGAGAGGGGACAGTCACCGCTGATGCAGGGATCTCCCACCAGCAGCTACCCTGTTCCTTCTCTTCCTTATAGCAGAATCCTGACTCTGTGCTAGCAGTGACATCTGTTTAAGTCAGTCCCCTCATGATCCAAGCCAGTTATGGTCTCTAGTTTTTCCTCATTGAAGCAGAGACAGTTGGTGTTCCTTTAACTGGGCAGCACTATTCTGCTTGGAAAGTGAGGTAGAGCAGATTGCAATGGGTTCCATGGAATACCCTGTTACTCCAGATCAGAGAGGTGTGTGAGATCAGAACCCTGCATCTGCTCATTCCACCTGCCTAAGAGATTGGTCTTCCACTCGATGGAAAAAAGTTAGTGCCCAAGAATGGTGGTTCAGAAAAATAGGTAGAGAGGCACACCTCAACACAACCTGAAGTCACTGGCTAAGGCATTCCCACAGAGTGAGCCACAGGGTTTGGGGCTGCTACCTGAGGTTCACATATTCTGCCCTCTGAATGGCAGGGCAGGCACAGCGAGGACAATGACCTTCTAGGAGTCCCGCAGATCACACATTCAGCTCCTTCTCCTGTGACTCACACTATTTTTTTCATTTCTTTACACTTGTTTTCAGTGGGACGAGTCATCAGTGCTTTCATAATTAGGAAGATTTTGGCATCCTAGTCATCTACTCTTCTTTTCAAAATGATTAACTACTAGAGAAAAATTTAACTTCTTTCTCATGAAAATAGTTTTGGAATAACTTCAGACTTTTAAAATCATGTCAGCATTCCTGCAGACCTGATAATACCATTTTTTTTTTTTTGTTATCTTACCACTGTGAAGTCAGGGTAGAAAAGACATCATCTTTTTCAGATTCCTGGAATAACTTCAAAAGCTCTGGATCCCCAGATAAATGTGCAAGAATGCGCAATTCAATCTGTGAAAAGTCTGTGAGACAGAGTTCTCCATCAATTTTGAATTCACCCATGGTGCCCCCCCATCATTGGCTCACCCCAAGCTACTCTCAGACTGCCTTCCCACTGGGCTCAAGGTCAACACATTTCTTCCCATCTGCCAGACTTCCTTAGCCTTTGGACTATTGGCTCTCTTTATGCCAGCAATTCTACAGACCTGTTCTCCCTCCTGCAAGGTCAGGAAAGCCTCCAGGATGGGCAGTGTTCATTCACCACATTCATCACAATTTTATGAAGGGCCTCCTGTATGCCAGGACCCCATTAGGATGTGTTAATAAACAATATTATAGACACAGAACTCTTCCTCCATGGAACTTACATTTTCGGAGACATTCTGAGTAAATCAGCTGGTATGTCAAGGAAGAGAAATGGAAAAATTGGATCAAGGTATGCTTTGGAAGTGAGCAGTACATATGAGAGAAGCTGGTGTCATGGTAGGGTGGTCAGCTCCCCTGCTTCTTTCTAGTCCTCAAGAAAATTATAATGAACAAAGACAGAAGAGGGAAAAAGGAAGGGCTATAGGGGCTTGAAGTATAGGGACACAGTGGTTAGCAGGGCTACTTGAGTCAGAAAGGGGAGGGGGAGGGGAAGGACAGAGGAGGAGGAAGCAGATTGAATGAGTTATGTCAGCAAAATGAGGGGACCCTGAGAGCCAAAGACCAGTTACTATTTAATGTATAGAAGAAATCTTTGCTTCATATAAGTGTTTGCCTTAGGGTTTATTTGCAAGAATGAGTTCTATATGATATATGCATCTTTGCATTACTTAGTTGGTAAATATCTGAACTACATGCAAATGCACAAAGGGAGGTATTGTGACAGTGGCACCCCCATCATCCTATGCCTATACCTGCCGCCAGGAAGGCGTGGCCTTCAGAGGAGACCAACAGGGTTCTTGGGGAGATGGTGACAGTCTCCTCTTCTTTACCTGGATTGTCATTTCAAAAGCATGTGGTGAGTTTTACTGCCAGTTGACCTGCAGCAATTTTTCATAGTTATTTTAATATCATACACAAATAAAAGTCTATATTTTTAATTTTGTTACTATTTCTATTAATACTATTAAAAATAAATACCACTGTAAGATAACAAAAATTTCTATTATTAAAAATTTCTGTTCTGTCTAGAATTATGGTAAAGGAAAAAGTCAGACATTGACACTCAAAACCACTTTAGTAAAGCCCTGGGGATGGAGCCTCACGACTGCAAGACCTATGCATAGGCCACATAGCTATGTGGTCCCACTGAGCCCAGGCACCGGTGCTGTGGTTCTTTCGTCCTTGCTCAGGGTGACTGTGTGTATTTAGAAAGGCGTTGGCTTTGGTGGTATTATCGTGCCTCCTTGGTTAATGCCCATAACAAAGCAGCAGCACTAACATGGTCACGGTTATCAGCACCCTTTACCAAATTAGAATTTCTCCTTTTTAAGAAACATGACCATCAGCATTACAGTGGGATAGCTCAAAAGCAAAAAGATTTTTCACATGCCTTTATAAACATCTCCAGAAAACTTTAGATTTATGAAAAGCCGGTGCTTTTGTTTGTTCTTTATTGGGAAGTTGGTAGGGAAGGATGGTGGGAAGGGAGATAGTTCCCTCATATAATTACCGTCTATTTTAATGCATAAAACTGCTAAATGGGAGGTACTATATCACTTCAGCTGCTTTTTATTTTTTCAATGTAGTCATGCAAACACAGAGGATCACTTCAGGAAAGTATAGTAGTTATATTGTAAGAAAGTAATTATAAACACTTCTGGGTCTTAAGAAATGCTCCCAAGATTTTAGTAAGACAGGAAATAATGTGTTACCTTTAAAATTCCGAGGCTTAGAAATCTGAATTGGGTGCTTGGAAATACCTTGGATATTCTGTTAATAAGATAATAGCTTTAATTGAAATACCTACTCTTAATCTGTACCATTCAAGAGTATTTCAAAGACACAGTATTTTGTTAAATATATAATGCCAATATGCAATGCCTAAGCACATTAACATATAACACAACTGCCTAATGTGAAACTTTTAATGGAGACACCACTAATCAGTCAGCAAGTGTGAGAACAGCCTTGATTCTGGCCTATGTGAGCCTGTGATACATACAGTGACTTGACAGTTGCCCAGGTTATGAACTTTCTTGGAAATCTGTATATTATACTTTAATTTAAAAGCACTCTTCAAGCTGGAATGTAGCACTTAATTATCATATACAAAGCTTGAGGATTTATCTTTAGTACTGTCTAAAAGCACAAAAACAGTATCCCCACTATACTTCAATTGAAAGTTCTGGTCTCAGCTTTGTTGTAGCCCCCTCCCCTGCTCCTGGTATTTGGTAGCTGCCTCAGCCTTAGTGTATGACTAACAGTGGTGGTATCACTTACAAACCTTTAAGGGATTTTCTTGAGTGCCTTTGCTTTCCACCTTTACCAGGGTAATGATAGTAGATGATGGTAATAGGTAACACCCATAATCTATCCTGTTTCTCCTTTCAAATCATGAGAATTTCTGTCCTTGTACCTTCCTATGTTTGTTAGTATAGGGAATAACAGGCTACTTTGTCTGGTAATGGAATTTCCTGGGTACTAGTTGGTTATGACCCACTGACTAGATATGATGAATTATACTGTGCTAGATGCTGACCATTAAAATCCATCTTTTAGGTCTCTCAGAAACACAAGAGGTATGGGGTAAGTATTTCATCTTCCTTGCATATACGAATTCACAACACTGCCCAAGACCTGCATGAGATCAAGCTAGTTAAAATTCCGGCTTGAGCTGGGTGGAGGGGGCGCACATGCCTTTGATTCCAGCACCGAGGAGACAGAGGCATGTGGATTTCTGAGTTTGAGGCCAGCTTGGTCTATGGAGCTAGTTCTAGGACAGCCAAAGAAACAGTCTCAAAAAACTAAAAACCAAAACAAACCCAAAAACAAAAACTTCCAGCTTGGTAGGGAAGAGGCTACTGAGACCTGTACAAGATAAAACCAGCTAAAATAAAAATTTTATCCCTGATAGAGGAGAGGCCACTGAAGCCTCACTTCTAACTGAAGAGCTATTTGCAGCTGAGGGCCGATGGGGAAAAGAGAGTGGTCATTGGTAGGTTACTCACACCACAGGGGATGACCACATACCCATGAACATTTGGGCAGCACTGAGTGGATTAAAAATAAAATTAAGAAGTGGCATAAAATTGGAAAGGAGATGTTGGGAGACCCTAGGAGAATTTGGGTTTGGTGAAGTGGGGTGCAGACACAATTAACATATTTTATATACATGCATAAATTTTTCAAAGAATAAACAAAAACATCACTTAATTAAGATAATATTTGATTTAAAGTAATTCAAAGAAAACCTTATGTTGGAATTTTGTTTGCAAATCACATAGACACAAAACGTAAGCTACTAAAGTAAACCCATAAAACAAACAAAAAAGCATCCTGGCATAATAGGCACTTCCAGAATAGAAAAGTCAGGAGCTTATATGAAATCAGTGACACCCTGGTTACTAAAACCAGGCAGCAGAAGAAAGATGCTAACACATTCTTAAACATAGGCACAATAATTCTTAACAAAATCTTTTTTTAATCAGTTTTTCTTCTCTCTCTCTCTTCTTTCCCCCTCCCCATCCCCCCTCCCACTCCACCCCCTCCTCACCCTCCACAGGGAGGGTGGTGCCTTCCAGGAGGGATCAACAAAATCTGTCAAGTCATTTGGAGTAAGGACTAGGCCCTCTCTCCTGCCTCTAGGTTAAGGGAGAGACCCCCTGAACATGGGTCTTCAAAAATTCTTAACAAACCAAGCCCAGTAACATAAAAACAAGATTATATTTCATTATCAAGAGAGAATTGTCTTAGAAATGTGAGGTTTATTTAAAAGGCACACACCTTTAATCCCAGCACTTGGGAGGCAGAGGCAGGCAGAATCTTTGTGAGTTCAAGGCCAGCCTGGTCTACAGAACAAATTTCTGGACAACCAGGGTCACATAGAGAAACCCTGTCTTGAAAAATAGTTCAAAACAATTCACATATAATATCCATGGAATAAAGTGTTTTAAAGCAGTAACAGTGTAACAGAGCAGAAAAGGGCAATGGCAATTCATTCAGACTAATGATGTACCGAACATACACTGAAATTCTCAACGAAATAGGAAAAGTAGATTTGTTTTCAACACAGTAAATAACATGTACAAAGCTTACTCATTCCAAGTAATTTCAGTGTCTAAAATAGGCCCGTGTTGCCCGTCTATCAGTCAGACCAGCATCAAACCAACAGCAGTTAACACACACAGCTCCTGGAAAGCTCTGCATGGTTAGGACCAACCAGCAAATAGGTGCTCAGGTTCTAAAGTTAGGTCCTACAGAACACAGCATGTTAGTTTTAACGACAGCTCTTTTATTAAAATAAAGGGAAGATATGGGTTTTCTATTAGTCCTGACAGAGTAGGAAGTTTAAGTTTATTGTGCCTAGGAAGATTTTGTTTTTACAATATATCAAATAATAGTATGATAGAAAATTCACCAAATATTTAATTTACATAGTGCATTTTTTTGTTTTTTGTTTTGTTTTTGAGGCAGAGTTTCTCTATATTGCTTTGGAACCTGTCCTGGAACTAGCTCTGTAGACAAGGCAGGACTAGAACTCACAGAGATCTGCCTGCCTCTGCCTCCTGAGTGCTGGGACTAAAGGCGTATGCCACCAATGCCCAGCTTACATAGGGCATTTTAACCATCCCAAGAAAAGTTAAAATATACACCTTGACCTTTGGTCACATGAAGATTGTCATCCTGGGAAGGAACTTCTTTTCTTTCCTGGAAGACAAGGTTTTAGCTTTTCCTTTTCCATTACTGCTGATAGGGACTAGGATGAAATGAATAGTGCCCTGGTTTTTGATATCTGCAATGGCTATTCTGTCCAATACATCTTGTTGAGCATTAATCAGAGTTAGGGATACACTTTAGCAGACGACTTTGCTAGCAATCAGTGCCTTTACAGCTGACAGGGCAGGAGCAGTCACACAGTGTCAGCTATGAGAACAAGCCAGAGAAATGCTGTGCCCTCCAATTAACACTAGAGAAATACAAAAATCACTGAACAAGAACTGCACTTCAACCAGAACTGCTTTTATGAAATGTCCCCAATAAGTCTACAGAACAGAGCTAGTAAAACTAAATAAATCAACTCCTAAAATAAAGACATGTATTCTTTTTATAAAGACCAGAAGCATCCATGCAATTGTCTATTGTGTGGAGTGGCTTTTAAAGAAAAATAACCTTTTTGTTTTAGAGCAAAGTTGTCACATGTCCCCATCCAGTTTCATCCAGAGCATCTTGAAGTTTGCCACAACAAAACTGACAGGGGATATTACCATCCTCTCAGCTCTGTGCTTTGTTCTCACTGCATTTTTTAAAAACATAATCTCTTTCACACAGGACACTTAGTCATCATGTCTCCTTAGGGCCCCCCTGGCTATCAGTTTCTCATCATGTTCCACGGTTTTGAGGAGGGCTGGTCAGGTAAGAAACTCCACCATCCAAAAGATTGGGATTTGTCTGTGATTGTCTTCAATGGTGGCAGTGGAATTGTGTTCTTAGGAAGATTGTCATAGAAGTGAGGTATCATCCTCGCCCTGTGATGTCAGGACACAGACTCCACAGGACCTTGTGTTGGCACTCATCTTCACACTGGATGAGGTAGTGTTCTAGGCCTCTCTTTATAAAATTACTCTTAAATTTTCTTCTTTTCTATACTATACACATGGAAAGTAGGTCACTAAGCAGAGCCCACGGTGAAGGTAATCACACTGTGTTAGTTATTCCTTTGTCACTATGACCAAAAGACTTGATTTAAAAACTTATAGGGGGAAAGATTTATTTTGGCTCTCAGTTTCAGAGGACTTATTACATCATGGCATATTGGTAAGGGCACGGCAGAGTCCAACAGTTTGCAGAATGGTTGGTCAGGAAGCTGAGAAAGGGGGACACAAACATTTGGCTATTTTTTGTTTGTTTTTCTACCGTTTCCCCTTTTATTCTGCCTAGGCCTCCAGTTTATGACATGGTGTTACCTATACTTAGGGTAGGTCCCCACAGTTAATCTCTTGATTTTTCTGGGAGTAGGACTTGTGGAGAAAGACATGTCCTTACCACATCGTATCAACTCTCTGCCAACATGATCCATCACTGCTAAAAAAACTTAGGCATTTTCTACTTAGGCAGGGTCTCAATAAGTAGCCAACTCTCCATCTTTCTGCCTTTGCCTCCCAGATGCTAGGATTACAGGTACCTGTTAGCACAAATCATTCATTAATTTTTTTCTTTTAATGTTCAAGATTTCTTATTTCATTCTATGTGTATGAGTGTTTTGCCTGTCTATATATGCCATAGGAGGTCCAAAGAGATTGGCAGATTCCCAAGTTACACACAATTATGCATAATTGTGACCCACCATGTGGGTGCTGGGAACTGAGCCTGAAGAGGTCCAGTCCCTCATTCATGCCTTTTTATGGCTTTATAGACTATTACTTTTTATTACTGAAAAATATTTCTCTGTATGGTTACAGCATACTTTATTAATCCACTGAAGGAAATTTTGGTTGCTTTCATGTTTTAGCAATAATTAATAAATTGGCCATAATATGTATTTATGCACAGGATTGTATATAGACATAAATTTTCAAGTAAATTTAATAAACTTTGGAGTTTGATGGCCTGATGATAGGGTATTTATTTTATATGCAACTGCTCTCCTTCTCTGTTCTTCCCCCAGTGTAGGGGCCCATGAATTCAAAACTGCCCTTAGTAAGTCCTAATACCTAAAGGTCAAAGATGTAGCTACAGTGGAATATTTGATCTTGACCTTGGGTGTCTTAATC